ATCTATTACAGACATCTCGGTTTATGTGCCTTCCGCAATTCTATGACTGCACTGTTCCTCACTGCGAAGTCTTGTGGAAAAGGAGAAATAATTCCCGGACACGAGCCCCCAATTCTGTTACGCCCGGGGTTTCGTTGGGACTACGATAGCCGGAACGCAACGAGAAAATAAAAAAAAATAAGTAAGAGATCCCAAGGTTCGATATAAAAATAAAGAAAAGAACGTTGGGAGGGGAATTCTCCAATTCCGGACGTCGGTAAACGCAGAGAGAAAATGAACAATTCGCAGACACAGAACAACAGAAGACAACACGAGAATAATACAAAGTTTTTATTTCTAGAATACACGGAGTGTAAGAAAAAGAAAAAGAAAACTAAATAATACAAGGGATGGGGAGATAAATTACCAATTATTAAACAGATACTAATGCGGCGAAATTCATATGAATACAGAAATAGCAGCAGACTATAAGATATGGAAAAACATGCAGAAACTTACATAAGTTTGGAATCGACGTCGATTGACAATTATCGGGGTACAATTTGTTCAAAGAATATTTATACACTTCTTTGATGGGATTGACAATGTTGATTTACAATCTCGCGTCGGTCCTTTGGTTTTTGGTGGCATCTAATTCTTCTAATGGCGAATAGCTAAGACGGGTTTTTGGTGACGTCCGACTCCTCTGATAGCCAGTAACTGTGTGTCGTTGTTGTTACCTTAACACGTCCGAAACGAAAACTGTTATATTTTGAGTCACGTGTTGGCCCCCAAAAAAGGTATGCGTCATTCACGGACCCTGTTAATATCATCCACAGTTATCTGTCAAGCAGCGATTGTTTTGACCAGCGACTATGGAACTGGTTAACATCATTCACACCTACCTGTCAAACAGCGGACCAGGTAGGAGATGGGGTAGAAGGGAAGGTTCTTCTCCGAGAACTGGCCCTGACTCATCTGGTTATAAAAACAATATATATCTCACAATCTGCGTATTTAAGAAATAAAAAAATTAAGATTCATATGTTTCGTCGCAAATACAAAAGGTACTGAAAATGTACTTATAAAATCTGAGGTGAGGGTACAAATATGGGGTTAACGTAACAATATATATATATATATATTGTGTATATTTAGGCAGCAATCTTTCATTGATGCATGTTTTATTAAATAATATAAAGAAGTTTTGTCTATTTATTTTAAGTAACATGTTTAAATCCAATCTAAGCTTTCAGCTTACATAAGCCATTAGATGACAATAACATTACAATATATCAAACAATACACAGACAAAACAATAATAGTCTGTTTTTGTTGCATGAAAAATTTCAAAGCAACAACAAACTCGTGTATATGAGACGCAGAAGCAAAAATCGTGTTGCAGCTCGTGACGTCACACATGACCACGTGAGAGTGAAAACGAGAAGTATTAAGTATGGGAAGCCGTTGGTATAAACCAATGGCTTCTGTTATCAATTATAGGCATTTAAGAATATTTGTGGAGTTTTCATAGTTTATTTTGTTCAGGTTAGGTTTCAACTGTTTTATGTATATAGCTTCAAGAATTTTTAGTTTTTGTTTATTGTTTTCATGTTTAAGTATAGTTGTGTTTTCAACAAGCATTTTCTGGAATTGTGTATGCGGCCAGGCATGTTGTTTTAAATGCCTAAAAATGTTAGAATTATCATTCAAATGTAGAGTCAAGCATCATGAAAGTGAGTTTGTGGTGTGACCAACTTAAAATAAATAGAAAACTTGTCTATATTAATGAAATATGCATTATATATATATATATATATATATATATATATATATATATATATGAAAAAAACTGATGGAGTAAAATTCCACTGTTCATATCATTTACTTTTAAAAAATTGCTCAATACAAAGTAGAGCTTATATATTATTATTTTTATTATAAGAGATTATAATAAAAACGTTGAAAATCACAACACAAAAGCTTTCATGCTTCAATACTTTGATTGTACTTCTTCAGGTGATGGTAAGTAACTGGTGATTAAATGATTTTTAAGAAAATTTTAAAGGCTTTGCTTTTGAAATTTTCTTAAAAATCATTTAATCAAAGTATTCATATATATATATATATATATATATATATATAATGAATAAAAATGATAATAGGAAAACTGGTAATTGCTGATGCGTTTCGTCCAATGTGGACTTTATCAAAGCAAAATACGAAATGCGTCAGCAATTACCAGTTTTCCTATTGTCATTTTTATTCATAAATATTGTCTTCTCTACTGGTTAAATTGGAGAAATTTTCATATATATTTTCAGTGGATACCTGTATTTGAGCAGATGCTCCATTTATTTAAAAACAGTATATTTATTTTTCATCTACTGGATGGAATATTCAAGAAATCTTATTGAAGAAAAGATGTGCTGTCTGGCAGGATTCAAACCTGTGTCCCACAAGTAGGAAAAACCCCTGTTAGATTCCACATGCCTTAGACCCACTTGTCTATGAAAGTTCTTGCTGATCATGCAAAACCAAACTCAAACATCAAACATTCTTAAACTACCAACAAATTTAAACAAAAGACATTATTACAACATAACATTTGTTCTTCACACAATACAAGGGAAACCACTTCGTGTGACTTAATCTTTATTGTTATTAACAGAATTATATGTATATGATTGTTTATGTTTACTTGTTGATTTTCATTGATCTCTCGTCATTCATTTTTGTGTTTTCTTCACAAATTTAAAGTGGAGAGTTAATGTAAAAACGCAACCTTGATCAAAAATCCTTCTGATTCTTTTCTAACCAACACCATTAACTACCCCACAACCTAACCACGTTTGCAATAGGAACTACCCAATGAAGCAAAATTTTATGTCTCTGTCGTGTCCACTAAAATATCTTATAAAATATGCAACATATTTCAAACAATAAAACTAATTATTATGTTAATTATTAACTTAATTATAAACTTATTAATTTTAAGCATGAGAAGCATTTTCAGCCAACAATAGCTACATAAACATTAAAATACACCTACAAAATATTTATAAACCAATAGCACGCAATAAAGTTACTTTTTATTACAACCAATATACTTTCTTAAAGAAACGTTTGTCGGAGTTAACTTCTCCTTTAGTTCGTTAACCCTTTCACCAGGGGTCTCTCTTCTCTGGCTATAAATACTTGCTTTCAGCCTTACCACCTCACAGATGTGAATGCTCACAGATACAGCGTTTCCCAAATTCAGTCCTGCTAAGCTTTTACAAACACTACTTTGATCCTAGGAAGAAATGTGCAACAGTTGTGCATTACAACAATAACCTAATCGAAATATATATCTGTAAAAAGAGCTTAAATTAAGTAGATATAAAGATCTTGAAATTGAAATCTAGAAGACGAGGCACTTAAAATTGTAAACTATCAGTGTCATTGTTGGGGTAATTGATATGATTCTTGATCATAAGACACCAACAAATATCTTTGACAGTCAATTATAAAATGACAAAAAAATCGTTTCTGAGTCAGAGGGTTCAAGAATCCTACCGATTAATAAATTAGTCCTTTGAAAATAAATATTCAACATTTTTCAACTAATGTGTCATGTTCCCACTGACAATAAAAACGAAAAATGCTTCATGATCACTTTGACGAGTATATAAGCAAAGTTTATAAACCAGACAAGCCAGTAAGGAGAAAGGACAGCAACATACTGCAACAGTTCACAACGGCAACTTAAAAGAGATTCCCTTACTCATTCACCCATCTTCCCCACTTAGTTACGTGACATTTACACTCTTCTTCAGCAAGCTATGTGACACTTACACTTTCCTTCGCATTTTATCCCTGGTTTCATTTTTTTTTTTAACACATACACGCAAAAAAATCACATTCCTTTTCATCTTAACACACACAGAACATTAACACACAAAATTTATGCTGAGAAAAATTTAGTTGTAAAAACACGAAAATAAAAAATATTTGATATTTCTATATTTAAAACCTTTTCTCACATTTTTCTGTGTTGTGGGTTGATACAAATCCACAACAAAATTGGTGACACCAACGTGATGTGTAATGTGAGTTTCTTGATTCCAAAGTTAATGCAGTCCTTAATGCTAACTAACCCTCTTCCACTTGTTTTTCTTTTAGCATATAGCCTGGCAATATCATCCTTTTGTTCTTGTTTGATACTCTGGCTTTCTAAGTCTGTTTTTGTCAGGTTCAAGATTACTTCCTGATAGAAGTAACCCAAGTATTTCTTTAAGTATCTAACAATTTTCTTTGTTACTCTGAGCTAGTCTTTGCTTGCTATTTCCATGGAAAATGTTCAGATGAACTAAATTACTTAGTTCCACCAGATCTAATATTCACAGCTCAGATTCACTAGGCCAAGCACATTTGTAGCGAGCCACCCTCAAAGCTAAAAAGTCTTTTAAACGTTTGCTTTGAGACTTAGTTTTATCTCAGAAGATCTGTGAGTGTTTTTGCCCATATGTGAAAATTAAGCTAAGCTTCACCTATACACAGCTCTAACTCGTACAATATCTGTTAGCATTCCTAAGGCTGAAACTGATCTAGCCAATGGATCAAAGTTTCAGGCCTTTTTTAGTTGTTCTGAATGTCTGACTAGTACAAGGTCTATCAGCATTGAAAGCTACTTTAGATCCTTGCTACGTCTTTGCTTTTGCACGTCTCCACTCCAGCTGTTGATTAAATACCAGGATAGACCTTTGGTGGCAATGAATCTAAGAGAAGGAAAACTCTTCAAGTGAGCTGGATAAATTTTTACATAAGCACAATTCAATCATAAAAAAATGTGGATCATGACAATGTAGTTTAATATTTAAAAGTGTGGCATTTTTCAACAACAAAAATTACTTTTTCAAAAAAGAAAATATTTTGAACCCAAAATATCAATTCAATACTTGCAATGTCTTTTAGTGTGAACACAAGAAGAAAAAAAAATATCAGTTTGAAGTGAATCAATCATAAATCAGAATTTTCTTTTAGGGTGACAACAGAGAGTTAGAGATAGATAGATAGATAGATAGATAGATAGATAGATAGATAGAGAGAGAGAGAGAGAGAGAGAGAGAGTAAAATAAAAAATCAAGCTAACTGAAAATCAGAATACAAAATAATTTGAATCATATGCCCATAAAAAATGGTGGCAAAACTGGTTAATCTCCTTCCCCATTTCAAATAGTGAGTGAGAATATTTTGCCTGCACGAAATGCGGAAATACCATGTCAAATAATCATGAAAGCATGAAATTCATAGTGACAATGCAATATTGTTTTCTATGTAAGCATTACTTAACTTCACAAGCAAAATGCTTCCAATTCTGAGAATTCAATACATAAATATAGTGAATCTTCAATAATATAATTATAAATGATACATAATTATATATAATGATAATTATATAATTATAAATGATAATAGAGTTTTATAATGATAATCTGTATCAAAATAGAAAGGAAATTTCTTATATATATGAATATAATGATAACTGAAGTAAAAAGAAAATTGACAGAGAATTCTGTGTATAATAATAATTCGCATTAAAATAAAAAGGATATATGTCAAGATGAAAGTAATGGCTGCATATATCAAAGTAGAAATGATATAGAAGAAAGTAATGATAATTTCTATCAGATGAAAAAAAAAGATATGAGTGACAGAAAGTATTGAAATCAAAAAATTAAAGGATATACATGAAGCAGAAAGAAATGATTTCTATCAGATTAGAATGGAGATGTGTATGGCAGAGAGTGTTGATATGTTGCAGCAAACAGAAAGTATATATACAAAGCAGAAAATAATTACATTAATGTTTAAAATATAGAGGGTATTTGTAAAGCACAATGTAATGACAATTCTTATCAAAATGGAAATTTTATCTTGAAAGCAGGTAAATAATACTTTCCACCAAAAATAGAATGGATATAAAGAAAGCAGAAAGTTACAATAATGCCTATCAATGCAGAAAGATAATAGGTAAAATAGAAATTCATGACAATTCCCATCAAATTAGAAAAAAATATGTCAAGTTTTGAATATAATGATAATATCACTTAAAAGAGGAGGTATTTTTTTTTTTTATATATAAACCTGAAAGAAATCATAAATCTTATGAAATTGATTGAACTTGTATTGATGAATCTGAAAATATTAATAACTACATTAGCAAAAATAAAATTTTATATTTAAACCTTGAAAATAAATCGAATACAAGGGTGTGGTTCATATTCAATCATAAAACTCATGTCAGGAAAACTGAATTCATAATAGAAATTTAAATCTGAAAATGATGATAATTTTGATCAAATAAGATAATTATAATTTATATTGAATCCTGGAAATATTTCTATTTCTAATGAAAATGAATATTATATATTTGGATATAAAATGATATTAATTTATTTCAAATTGGAGAGTATAATGTTAGAGTAAACTGTGGATGCAGTTATCTCCCTTCCTAAGTAACTCTCTAAAAAGGGGTTAATTTTATACTTGCTGTATATTTTTTTCTGTTGCATGTCATTTGGTTATTAAGCCTGTTATGTTGTGCATCTCTTGTTCTAGTCTCCTTTCCTATATACTCCTTGTTGTTATAATATGTTGACTTACCACTGCAACCCAACGAACTATGGGCCTAACTGCGGCCACCAAAAGAGAAGGCCTGCTTGATAGTGACGTGATGTTACAAAAGTAGTCCATACAGTGAAACAGGCAGTAATCATAAATAATTGGAAGAAAAAAATGGTTTTAGAAAACTTTTTAAAAATAAATTTATAAAGGAAAGAAACAGAATTGGATTTTATACAGAACTTTATTTCATATTAATTTTAAAAAAATAACTGATAAGAAAAAAAAAATGTTGCTGAATTGTAAAGAAATTAAACATCATGTTACATTTCATTAAATTTTAAAGAATGAAATTCATTCATTATTTTATTTGTTCCAAATTTGAAAACATTTTTTTAATCATAATCAGTACTGTTTTAATTTGCATGTTTTTTTTATCTTAATTCTAGTAATTATTCTGTAAAGTTACAATATCATAATTATTAATGATTATTATTCTTATACACTTGGACTGCAACAACTCAATTATTAAACAGACGAGCAAATTACAAGTAAATGATAAATAAATGAATAAAATATAAATAAACAAATAAACTAAATACATAAAGGAAATAAATTTGATACAAAAAAGAGATTTAAAATTCAAATAATTCTTATAGAAAAATAGGTTACAGATAGAAAATTTTAAGACTGAAATTCGTTCATGATTTTAATTGTTTCACATTTGAAATTTTTTTATAAATCATCAGCATTGTTTTAATTTGCATGTTTTTATTTCAATTTTAATAATTATTCTGTAAAGTTACAATTTTGTAATCATTAAGAGATTATTACTCAAATACAGTAACAACAGAATTATGGATTAGGGAACAAACAATCATTAAATAAGCAAATTACAATTAAATGATGAATAAATAAATCAATTAAATATAAATAAGAAAGAAATAAATTAAATACAAACAAGGAAATAAGATACAAACAATAAATAGATTTAAAAACCAAATAATACTTTCAGAAAAATAGATTACAGATACAAAATTTAGCTGGATGTTTGAAGTTTTCTTTTTTTGTTTAACTTGTTACTTGTAATATTATTATTTTCCCTAGAACAAAAATTATTTAAAAGAGCATTTATAGAGCTTCAGACCAACATTCTTTGTATTTTTTCTAGATTGTGACCCTCATCACAAGTGTCAACATCAAAAAGAAGCTCATAATCTGCCAAAATGTTATATGCATGGCTAATTTTCTTTGATTTACTGAATGAAGAAAAGAATTATTTTTTATCAGTTTATCAATGACTACATGATTATACAGCACAAAATGTATAGTTTTATCATTAGGATATAAGATAGAACCTCTGTTAATATCCTGAAAATAGCTGCTTATTTCAGGTATTTCTTCCACATTATCTCTTACACTTCCAGATATTAAATCTTTGCAACTATTGCATTTAATTTTCTTAAAACTGCATTACAGCAATAACCTGCTAAGTATTGTATTACAGGTAGAACTTCTCTACAATTATTAACATCATCCTCTTTAACATCAATTCTATATTTATACATATCTAACTTGTTCTCCTCTGTCACTTCACCCCAGTTTGGTTCTTGCAAACTCTTTAAATCAATTTTAATACATTGCTGATTAAATGGTAAGCTCAATTTTAAAACTGATTGCATTCTAATTTTTTTTTTCACACTCAAACACTTGCCGTATCGAGATAGTATACTAATCCCTACTAAGTTGCTGATATTGACCAAACCTTGCTTCAAGGTGATCAGTTTGAAATTTGCCTGGTAATATGTGTAGCATTTTCAGTTCTTCTATGCAATACTTGGTCAGTTCTAGAAATGTATAGGTTGCATGATGCAAAGCAGTGAAAGTTTCCTTTGTTAATTTGCCATTTCTTCCAGAAATACTATTCCAAGATTCTAACCAGTCACAGAATACAGAGAGAAATCTAAAATTTTCTTCATTCATTCTAAGTGGATTGCAGTATTTATTTCTAAGTCAACAACTTTTATATGGCATTTTTACATTCATTATTGTCCACCAGATATAAAATATGTTTATATATTCTGCAACTTCTGCAAAATTAGGCAAATGTTTCAGTTTTCCTAAGATCAATAATCGTTGAATAGTGTATTCATTAAAAATTTGCAGAACTAAATTAACATTTTGCTTTTGAAGATTAGTAGGAGAAAGTGCCTTTGAGGTTAATTTATAACAATATTTCAAAATTGACTGAGATTCTAAGGCATGAAGTTTCTGCAAGGTAGAAAATGGGACACTTTGGATACTATCTAATTCATGATTTCCATTATGACAAAATTTGGGGAACAGCATGCATTTATTTGTATCATTTTGATCAAGCCAATATATGGACTGAGTCGAAAAGAAAGAAAAGGGGTTGAAACTTTATAACTGGGTGTGAATATACAATGGTAAGCTTTGGAGAACTACAAAAGAAAGATATAGCTTTTTTATTTATAGCATTATTATCTGTTATGATTGATAATACTTGAAAGCCTATTTCCTCTAAACAAATTATTATATGTTTAACTATGTCAAATAACTTCTCAGCTTTAAGACATTTAGTTGGCATAACATGCACAAGATCTTTATATTGTGAGAAATACAATAAAAGCAAAAGCACTTGTTGCAGCTTCATTGCTGTTGTCAGATAAGCCAACAATATTATCACCATTATAATCTAAATAAGGTTTTAGATTAATTTCATCAACAAGTAATGATACTGTGATGTCCTTCTGCACTAGTAGCGTAAATTTGTTTTTATTATACATAAGAAAATTGTTATCATGTTGCTCAATCAAAGGATTCATATATGTCGATAAGGTTAGTCTTTTAATGGTTGAATAGCTAGAAGTAAAATTATATTTTTGCTGTCTCTTAACAATCTGTACCCTTTAGGGGAGCAGTTATATAACAATGAAAATATCATTTCTGTTGAATAATCAAGCTTATTTTGTGTCATTAAATTTAGCTGCTCATATATAAATTTCATTGCATTAAGTTTGTTTGATTCTTTTTGCACTCATAGTAGAAATGATATTACCAATTTTAATATAAAAATCATATTTTGAGGTGCAGTTTGATGTTGTTCAGTATCCATTTTCTTCATGTTTTCTATCAGAATTTCAAGAGTATTTTTGATGTTTAGGAATCTTATAGTCCCCTATTGAATGCATTTCCACATCTCTACAAAACACATGTACTGCAAGATCAGATTAAATTACAAGAGACAGATTGATTTTTGGATATGGGGATTTGATGATGCTGAATATAATAAGTGTCTTTTGTTGCCTAAAAAAACTCCAGTAATTTCTACCAAGGAAATTTAATTTCCCTTCTAGATCATTAATATTATGGAATTTCTTCTCCATTTTATATGCTAAGTCATCAGTAATATTTTGATTTAAAGCACTTTTAAGAGCAGAATTCTGTAGTCAAATTCTTCTGGAATCTGGTGACTCTCTAGAAGTATTCAATGAAGATAAAT